AACGACAAGAACGATTTCCTGACGTCGGTCCAACATTCAAGCCAAGTGTGAGTTGTCCTGGTAGACAACGACCATACTTTGAAACTACCTCCGAACAAGTGGGCAAAGGTTCATTCCTGCAAGTGNATGCCAGAGTTAAAAAAAAATAACTAGCTCTCGTACCTGAAACGACAAGAACGATTTCCTGACGTCGGTCCAACATTCAAGCCAAGTGTGAGTTGTCCTGGTAGACAACGACCATACTTTGAAACTACCTCCGAACAAGTGGGCAAAGGTTCATTCCTGCAAGTGAAGACAAAACTCGACTCCACGGTCAAAGTGGGGCAAAGAACGGTGAGCGTACTCCCGGCGATATAAAACAAGTATTATCGTCGCGGAAATAGGCCGACGGAATGTCACACATTTACGGCATCCCTTCCGTGCGAAGGGTGCGTTCAAGCATAAAGGCGAAAAGCTATCACGAAAAAAAAAAAAATCAACACGCACACACGATCAGTTGAAAGTGGTAACTGGAATCTGCCGAGAACGGACCAAGCGCATCTTCACAGCAGGGACGACTGTTTGGTTGTAAATTCTGGTGGGCAAACGAAGTCCTGATACTTTAGAGCAGCATCAATTTCCTTTTCGTTTCTTTCAAGTGGCACGCTTGCGGAATGGGAACCAGAACAGACCGGGCCAATAGTTTCCACTGTTGTTACGTTTACAGACATCGCTCGAAAAAGAACCACAACTGGGAATAAATGCGCAATCGCGATCAGGTTTGGTAGAGCAGAAAATCCTATATCCTACATGCAATGGTCGGGAATACTGTGTCAGTTTGTCAAAGACGCAAGTGGGCAACATTCTTCGTCACCAGAACTGAAAACAAACCAGAACATGAACTGCCATCTAAACACAATCAACACCCGCATCACACCAACATCAACGACGAGCCATGCCCGAAGTTGCATGCCCTGCAACCAATAGAGCACAACGTACCACAGTACGCGGGCCGTTCAAGAAATTGTTCAAGGTAGGCACCAACGACAAGGCTGATTAGAATTTTCACACTCGTCTTAGACGATGCAATGCGCTTGGAGAAGGAGGCGGACAAGTACTAGTCCCGGGCGACGACCCATTTTCTGTTTGAACACAAGGTAATCTTGAAGGTAATGGAAATCCATGGCGAAGGGTATATCAGTGTATCAATTCAAGAATACCAAGCGTCTGGAATGGAATGATGTACCCCACTGACCGGTTAAAGTGGATCCCAAAACCGCGGAGGTGGGTTCGTTACTAACTTTAACATATTTGGATATTTTCTGCGCGATAGCTGTTGAAGCACCTGCTGTACCTCCTGGACTTCCACGTGAAAGTACAGCACCAATGACCAGCGACTGTCACACCAAGCGAATCGCAATCGCACCAAGTACAAGACACACCCACCGGTCACTCCCAAGTCAGAGACGCCAAGCACGCCGACGCTAGGCTAGCATAGAACACGAAACAATATCAACCACAAACAACCAGACTCCTTACATACAACACAGCCAACCGCAAGGCCTCACCGGAAAGATTGTTGTTGAAAAGATATAGCTCCTTTAGCCCCGTCAGCCCGCCCAGCTCCGGGGGGATGCCGCCTGAGGGATTCGGTGGCAGCATGGAAACGACAGCAACAGACGTATCACGTACAACTTTTGTCTGCCGCCCCAGAGCAGTTTTGGACAATATGTTCCTGCTGCTGAACAAGACAAGAATGAGCGCGCTGGTCTTCATCTTGTATACCCCCAAACGTTTACGATGCATGTCTACCCAGTCCCACCGGTTGAGGAGGGCGTCACTGTAATGAACAAAGTTCAAGAGATTTGTCTCTC